CCTACTTTAAATTAACAAACGAAGCCCCGCCGAAGCTTGCGGTACACCCGGCTGTTTTCCAGAATGTTCCAGGAGCAGCCCTCCACCCTGCTTCCTCGGTTCTCAATATCCTTCCTAGTCAGGGACTCTGGGGTTCTATTTGGGGTTTTAGGGGTTTTTTTAATTTTTAATTTTTTTTTAAATTATGAAAGCCAGACAGTGGTGGCGCACGCCTTTAGTCCCAGCTCCCCGGGTCCAGCCTGGGCTACAAGAGCGAGTTCCAGGACAGCCCGGAAACCTTGTCTTGCATATCGAAACAAAACAAAACATATTATGAAATTATAAGTGTGGGGATTTTTTTGTTGTTGTTGAGGGATAAGAAGAGGAAAGAGAAAAATGTAAAGCTCTCTAAACTAGTGGGTTTCTCAGATACAGCCAGGCCATCAACATTTTAAGGGATTTATGATAAGACATTTCTCTTGACCTGTAGGCAACAGATGAATGCATTTAAAGTGATTTATTTAAAACTAACTACTCTCCTACCACCCAAGGTGGAATTAACTACAGAAAAATGCATTTATATGATTCACAGTTTTCCTTTGTCATTTTTCTAGTTTGTCACCTGTTTGTATCTTTTTTTTTAAGATTTTATTTATTTATTATGCACACAACATTCTGCTTCCATGTATATCTGCACACCAGAAGAGGGCACCAGATCTCATAACAGATGGTTGTGATCCACCATGTGGTTGTTGGGAATTGAACTCAGGACCTCTGGAACAGCAGTCAGTGCTCTTAACCTCTGAGCCATCTCTCCAGCCCCTTTTTTTTTTAAGATTTTATTTATTTATTACCTGTTTGTATCTTAAACACATTATTTTAAAACCCAAAGCAGCCACCCAAAACCCCACAAGCAAACAAATGTTATAAAAGGATTTATTTTCTAGGAGAATTTAGGACAAGAGAAAGGAGATGGTGGGAAACCCTGTTGACAACGAAGCTGTGTATTGAGCTCATTAAGATGTGGATATAAAGATGTCTCATTATATCTTAAATTTATTTTCAGTATTTTTCCCAAATTGTTCCAAGCTTTGAAAAAGTAACAAGTCGTTAGTCTTTACTGTATTAGAAAATACTAAATGTTTTAATAATTATTTTCTGATCTACTTTTTTTTCAGTGAAAACATTGAAGACTCTGTGGACATTATAACTCAACATTTGCCCACCTTCTATGTTAACTTGGTTCCCCTTTCTAGGCAATTTGCCAGTGTTACTTAGAACGACAATTTTTGGAGCTGATGATTTGTGAAATTAACAGCCAGCTGACAGAAAACTGGGTTCAGTCTTGATATTTTGTGGTAAAGTGGCATAGTTTAAGTAGCCAAGACAACCATTTAGTACAGAACTCACAATTTATTCCTTTCCTGCAATCGATTAATTTTTTCCTTTTGAATCACCAAAACTTAAGGATGGTTAATTTCTAAGGCATGAGATCAATTAGGGCAGTAAGCTACAAGCCGCTGTGTTCGTGTGAGTGCATGGGTGCATGTGTACGTGTGCGCACTCGAGCTTGTCAAAGCCCGACCACATCATCCTTAGTTAAAATATTCAACAACAGTATTTCAAGCCAAGTCTGTATTAAAGTCCAGTTTCATGGAAGTTATTGCAAGCAAATAAAAATGCATTTGTAAGTTACATTAGCTCATCGTTAATACAAAAAGGTTATTTGAGAGATGAATTAATAGGCAAATCTAATCTCTGAAAGTAACTACTGTAAACACAGTTGTCTGAATGTTTGCTGAGGTCGGAGTATAGTAAGAGAGATGGTTATTGGCATAGATTTCCAACACCTGTAATTCTTGAACTTAGGAGACCAAAGTCAGGGTTGTGGGTCTGAGGCCATCCTGGACTTCATGGTGAGTTCCAGGATAGCCTCAGTTACCTTGTGAGACATTGTCTCCAAAAGCAAGACAAAAACAACAGAAATCTAGTGAAATAAATAAGTCGTGCCAGGAGGTGATGGCACACACCTTTAGTCTCAGCACTTGGGTGGCAGAGGCAGATGGAGCTCTCTGAGTTCAAGCCTGGTCTACAGAGCAAGTTCCAGGACAGCCAGGGCTACACAGAGAAACCCTGTCTTGGGGGAGAAAAAAAAAAAAAAAGGTTGTATTGATCTGGGAAACATTACATGCTACAAAATCAAATCACGGTGTGTTTATTGTTTCAGTTCTGAGGTTCTTACATCTATAGAAAACATTATCCAAGACATAATCAAAAGCTTGGCAAGAAATGAAGTCCCTGCCTTCACAATAGACAACAGATCGCGCTGGGAAAACATAACGTGGGCACTTCGCAATTTATTTCTTCATTTTAAAAATATGTGTGTGCTTGCCTCTGTGTGTGCATGGGCGTTTGCGTGCTCGTGTGTGTGTGTGTGTGTGTGTGTGTGTGTGTGTGTGTGTGTCTGAATATGCTTACAGGTGCCCATGGAAGCCAGAGAGGGTGTCAGATCCCCTGGAGCTGGAGTTACAGACACTGTGAACCACCTGATGTGGGTGCTGAGCTCCAGTCCTCTGTAAGAGCAGCAAGCACTCTTAACTGCCCAGCCATCTCTCCAGACCCTGAAGTTTACTTCATTGTTTTATTTATTTATTTGAGAGAAGGTCTCACTGTAATGCCCAGCTGGCCTGTAACTCACAATGTAGACCAGGCTAACATCGAATTCAGAGATCTGCCTGCTTCTGACTCCCTAGCACTGGTATTAAAGGTATGTGCCTGGCCAGGTGGGCAGTGCTGGTACACATCTTTAATCCCAGCACTCAGGAGGCAGAAGCAGATGGATCTCTGTGAGTTCGAGGCAGTCTAGTCTACAGAGCGAGTTCCAGGACAGCCAGGACTACACAGAGAGACCCTGTCTTGAAATAAATAAAAAAAAATAAATAAATATAGAAAAAAATATGTATGTGCCACCATGCCTGGTCCCTGCAGTTTTATTTTAAAATGCAATATCTATGTTGTTATTTCAATTTGTTTTAGAGTTATAGTCATATGTCATTCTTTTCATTCCCTGTACCTGTCCCATAAAAATTAGCAGGTTTACAAAATCCATGCACCACAGAAGGGCTGTGTGAACTGAATTCAGTGTAAAAGATAACGCCAAGACTGAAAGGCTGTGTGAACTGGAGTCAGTGTGAAAATGAGGCCAAGACAAGGGGGCTATCTAGAACCACACTGAGGGAGGGGATGGCTCAAAGTCTCTTTGCCCTTCTGAAAACAGCAAATGTAGAGCCATGCTTCTCAGCACTGGGGAAACACCCTGGTTCAGTTGTCCTCCACTCTGCAAAAGCAAGCCATTGCTCAGGCAGCTGCAGTCAGTGCTGACATGCAGGCCGCAGTGCACGCACCCTGAACATAGCACAGGGTTCAGGCCTCATCTGGCACCTTTCTCCAAGTTCTCCAGCCTAGTGACAAAGGTTTGGCACAAACAGTCAGACTCTGTCGAAGTTACAGGGGACAGGGCCTAGGGAGACCTTTGAAAGTGTTATTTGAAGGTAATATCATTAGCATAAGATGGATACTTGGGCAGTGTGTCTGGAAAGATGGATTTCACATAGTTTCAAAGCAACTGCTGTATGGTGTATTCTCCTGGCGTCTTCTGCCACCGTTAGGAAAGCCTGGGAGGTTCAGTTTAACACACATCAGTAGTTCACACAGTGTTAATTTGTGGGTAAATTGAAATAAAATATTCAAAAATTAGTACTAAATTGAACCGGAATTTTTTTTGTTTGTTTTTTTTTTTTGTTTTTCGAGACAGGGTTTCTCTGTGTAGCTTTAGAGCCTGTCCTGGCACTCGCTCTGGAAACAAGGCTGGCCTCAAACTCACAGAGATCTGCCTGCCTCTGCCTCCCAAGTGCTGGGATTAAAGGAGTGTGCCACCAACACCCGGCGATCTGAATTATTAACTGAGAAGGAATAATGGCAAAATAAGTAAAATACATAATAGCAAAATATATGTAAGTATTCCATACACACTGTCAAAATACATAATAGCAAAAAAAGATAATAGCAAAATATATGTCAGTATTCCATACACACAGTCTTCCCCCAACAGAACGATGCACACACATACACCATACCTTTGCTAGCCAGTTTGAACCTTCGGGTGTCCTAAGCTCCCATGCTCACATAGAGAGGAGATGTGGGAGATGGCTGAGCGGCCAAAGTGCTTGCTGTGTAGCAGCAGCAGCCGTGTTAGGCTGCCCAGCAACCCCATAAAAACAAACTCCAGCATATGCCTGTAATCCCAGGGCTGAGGATGTGGAAACGTGGATCCCTGAGGCTCACAGACCAGCCAGCCTATGGTGATCAGTGAGCTCCAGGACAATGAGACAAAGATTGTCTCCTAAAACAAGATGGGTGGTGCCAGAACCCAGAACAATTCTCAAGGTCAACCTCTGGCCTCCGTGCATGTGTACATGATATGCAGAAGGTCATACCAAGTGTGTGTCCAGGAATTAAGTCTTTCCCATTTTGTTCCTTTGTTTTGAACCAAACAACAGGTTTGAAGATTCTGTCGGCCTTCAGTTGATACCTCAGTGTACCACAAGAAAAATCAAAAGTGACTCACCAAAATCAGTTAAAAAATTTGGTAAGTTAATCCTTCATGGCATTGAGTCATCAACAATAAATGAGTTAGCTATTTCTAGAGCTTAGCTGTTCGTAATTGGATGTCTTCACGTGTTCTTCAATAGGTACCTTGTCCTTAAAATAAATCTCTAGGCTGAGGGGTGGTGGCACACTCATTTAATCCCAGCACTGGGGAGGCAGAGGCGGGCAGATCTCTGATTTTGAAGCCAGCCTGGTCTATAGAGCGAGTACCAGGACAGCCAGGGCTGTTACACAGAAAAACCCTGTCTTGAAAAAACCAAAACAAATTTCTAGACTTGTCGTTGTCAGTAACACTGGAAGCGAACTGCCACTCGAAGGAAGCATGCTCTAGGTTCATGTTCAGGGGAAATTACTCTGATTTGCTGCCAAGAAAACCCTTGATTTTATTCTTTACCTAACCCTTCTCTTTTGGAAAGATAATTTTAAAGCATTATAGACACATAGAGGGGACAGTTAAAATTTTTGATAAAAGTATCTTTCAAATTAATGTGAGAGAGAAGCAAATTGTTCCTTATGTCTTATTTTCCAGCTTTGATTCTGAAAATACTATCCATGATTTATAAGCTAGTACAAAGCAACACTTACGCAACCAAGAGGTAAACATACTGTTCTGGCAAATTCATTCTCAATAATGCAGTGTGAGATTGAGTTAAATTACCTGTTTTAAAATTTAATGTGGGTGTTTTGTCTGCATGTGTGTCTATACACCACATGCCTGGTGTCTGAAGAAGCAGAAGACACTGCCAGTTCCCTTGGAGCTGGAGTTACAGATACTTGTTTGCAGCCATGTAGGTACTGGGAATTGAACCCAGGCGCTCTGGAAGAGCAGCCAGTGCTCTTAACTGCTGAGCCGTCCCTCTTAGAGCCCCCATTAACTTTTAAAAGATGCTTTGAAAAGCCATGAAGCCTGGACCCCAGGCAGTTAGTAGCTCTCCTCGTATGCTGTGTTTCTTGCAGTAAGTGTCCTCCACATAGTACTCTATGCTTGTCACAGTCTGGGGACATGGTGCTCATTCACAATGTCACCTCACATTTCCATAGAGACATATTCTACACTAACAGCCAACTCTTTGGGAACCAAGCTTCAGTGGACAACATTATAGATGACATTTCCTGTATGCTGAAAGTGCCCAGGAGGAGCCTGCATGTGGTGAGCCACTCCAAGTACAAAATACTGATGCAAAGCAAAACGGTAGTTGCCCTTAGTTCCAGAGCAGAGGCAGAGGCAGGCAGCGAGACCTTGTCTGGGGGAAAAGTGCACTCTGTCCTCTTTTCATGTCATTTGATAGTGTATTTTCTCAACACAGCCTTAACCGGTTTCCAGTATGTTCCTTTGGACCTTTTCAGATATTTTCATTTCCCAAATGCCCTTACATGCCTTCCACTCGCTCCACCTACCCAGATTCTGATCTAAGCTACAATACAAATAATATCTTACGAGATGAGCATGAGGAGAGGCTGGTAGCGAAAAGTATATTGATGGGGATGGCTTCAAACATGTTATTCTTTCCAGTTATCGACATCCAAGGGGTTGATTGCCGGCAACTTGAGATACGTGGAGGAAGATGGTACCCGAGTGCAGTGCACCTGTAGTGCCACGGTGAGCCGTTTCTGTCTCTCCTGCTCAGTGCCGCACAACCCCTTCCCTTGTGAACTGGATTTCATTCCTTGCTTTCTTGTGTAATTTAGAGACAAGGTAAAATTATTTCTAATTGTGTGAATATGCGTGTGATGCATGTGTGTGCTCACAGGTGCGTGTGGGCCCCAGCACAAGTGTGGAGGTCAGAGGACCACTTTCAAAAACCGCTCCCTCCTGTCACTATGGGTTCCTGGGATCAAACTCAGGTCATCAGGCCTGTGTGGCAAGTACTTTTACCCACTGATCCATCTTTCTGGCCCCAGAGATTTTAAAATAAAATTGATGGGTGAAAAGGTGTGTGCTTTATGGGGTTCTACACCAAGCATGCAGTTTTCAAATATGCTAATTGTCATATCGAAATAAACAGACACAATTCTCTTTTAAAGTGTGCTGATATTTTCAAATAGTGTGTGGCATGGCCTTTTTGGCATGGCTATTTACATAATCTGTGTGGTTCTGAAATGAACACATTTCCTCCCCAAACCCTGATGCTGCACTAGAGCAGTGATGTGGGTGGGCGGATGCTCCCATCAAGATGGGGCCCGGCGGTGCTGCTGAGGCCCCGCATCGGGACACTTTTGTTCATCCTGTCTGCTGAGCCACAGCTGTGCAAAGTTTCCACAACCTTCCCTGCTGGGGAAGCCACTTGTGTCTGCTTTCCTAGGGTCTGTCTGTTCCTCACTGAGCGACAGTCTCTAGATTACCCAAAGAAAACCGAAAGCATATGCTTGTGGTGACGAATTATAAAATGTAGTTACACTTACTTTTTATTTAACTTACAAACTGCCTGTTTTGTTTTTTCTTTTTAACTTAGGCTACTGCTGTGCCATCTAACATCCAAGGGATCCGTAGTATCCTTCAGTGGGAAGACTGTTTAAACTGGAATGCTGTTTCAAAGAGCTTTGCCTTCCTGTTGTGTAACAAACAAGTTAGACCATAGAGACAAGTAGCCACAGGCCCCTTGCTAGGGCTTTCAGGAGCTCACTGTGAAGCAGAGACGGCACCTATATACCTGGGTGAATATAGACATTGGGAGGCAAAATGAAACCTTTTGCTGTAGCTGCCTTTGAGTCGAGGCATATGGTACTGTAACGCAGCGGTGACTGAACTCAGATGCTATGCCTGCAGTTTCTCAGCCTTAGCCCCACAGATCTCATCACAGATGCAAAGTTCCTGTTAATAGTAGAGAAGGATGCAACATTTCAACGGCTCCTGGACGACAACTTCTGCAGCAGAATGTCCCCATGCATCATGGTCACGGTAGGACATTTGCCTCACTCTATCACTGTGGTGCTGGACACAGTTCCAGCAACATCCGGGCACCACATCCCTCCCTGTGCATAGAGTGTGCACCGTGTCCTCTCTGTGCATAGAGTGTGCACCGTGTCCTCTCTGTCCATAGAGTGTGCACCGTGTCCTCCCTGTCCATAGAGTGTGCACCATGTCCTCTCTGTCCAAAGAGTGTGCACCGTGTCCTCTCTGTGCATAGAGTGTGCACCGTGTCCTCTCTGTCCATAGAGTGTGCACCGTGTCCTCTCTGTCCATAGAGTGTGCACTGTGTCCCTGTCCCTGTCCATAGAGTGTGTACCGTGTCCTCTCTGTCCATAGAGTGTGCACTGTGTCCCTGTCTCTGTCCATAGAGTGTGCACCGTGTCCTCTCTGTCCATAGAGTGTGCACTGTGTCCCTGTCCCTGTCCATAGAGTGTGTACCGTGTCCTCTCTGTCCATAGAGTGTGCACCGTATCTAGTGTCACAGAGCAGAAATGTCCAAGGTGCTTATTTCAACATCCTTAAACCCAACTCAAGTTCAGATGAGGTTCTCTATTCTTAAACAGCAGCAATTTCCCCAAATGGGCTTTGTTTTCTTGCTCCTCTGTGCCCCCCTCCCGTCCCCCCCATTCCTAGTTCAGTGTCTCTCCAGGGCTGTGGGCACTGACAGGGCTTGCCGTCCTTCACATGACTGTATCCCAGGTGATGCACTGGGTCAGGCTAAAGGAGCTTCCCTTTCCACAATGCACAGGGACAGTGAAGGACACAGGTGGCTGTGTGACACCAGTGGGACTACAGTGTGGCTCAGCTAATGCAGTACTCAGCCAGCAGCAGCTAGCCCAGAAATTCGGCAGCAGGGAGAGTGAAGCAACATGTGTGCCTCTCAGAGTAGCAGCCTGGGGCCAAGACCTGATTCTCTGTCTGCTAAGTGTGGCCCACTTCCTAGCTGTTAAGAAGCTGTCTTCTCACTGAGTGTTCACAAGGAAGGGAAGAGCAAGACACAGGCAGGAGAAAGTCTTTCAAGGTCCCTTATGTAAGGGTTCCATCCCATTTGGGGGAGGCCACCCTTCTGCCTCTATTCCAAAGCCTCACCTCCTGAGCCCTCACACTGAAGGGTAGTGTTCTGACAGGAATTTATGTGACACAGAAGCATGGCTCTACTAAAGGTAGTTAGCTTCCTGTGGTATGGTATGTGAGGAGAAATCCCAGGAACTGGCTACAGGAGGGAAGAAAGCTTGGGGTGCACGCAGATGGGGGCTGCCAAGTAAGAAGATGGATCAGGATCCCTGTCTCTGATCTCTGATCACTCCACACAGCTGTCAAAAACCTGCTCCTCAGAGAAGAAAGCTGCTTATAGTGCTGTGCTTTGTTAGAGTGGCCGGAAGTGCAGCCTTAGCATAGCTAGGAGAGAGTCCCATGAGGAGAGGAGGTGTAGGGCAGCTGGGGGAGCCTTGTAGACCTAGCCAGTCCCACAGCAAAAAGATAGGCTCACAGGAGGCTTACTAGGGGTGTGTGGCAGCCTGTGGGGCAGATGGCTTCTTGTAAGGTTTGGACTTACCTCAGTGTGTGTATGGTAGGGGGTGGGGACTGAATGAAGGACACTTGAGAAGGACTAGGTGACTCCTGATTGTGGGGAAGTCTACACGACCTGTGGCACCTTACTGCAGCGGCACCGCTCAGAGCCGCAGGACAGACACAAGCACTCAGCTCTTGGTGAGAGAGTTCCAAGTGCGGTTTTGGCATGGACTCTTGGGGTGATGGCAGGAAATCCTAGTGGTAATCTTACGTGAAAGAGCAAAGAATCGATCTAGAAGATGAAGGACAATCTGTAGGTGTCTGGTCCATCTTTGCTGGCATCATGTGGGTTCTGGTGATTGAACTCAGGTCATCAGGCTTTATCTGCTGTGCCATCTCACTGGCCTTCCCCCATCTGCTATTTCAGACACAACAGGGTGAGCACTCATAAGTGTGTAAGGCCTTTATTCTCTCTGGTCCTGAAGAGATGCTTCCTGGGGGTGGGGACTTCAAACAGGCATTCAGGAAGCAGAAATGTGAACATACAGGGCTCTTCTTGTTGAGTACTGTACATTCTCCTTACCATCAACCTGGAACTCAGGGTGTGGCACACTTATCAGTGCTGATGAAATACAAGCAGAATGTACCCAGACCGTCCTTGTGAGGCCACAATGCCTGACTCTGTCTGCTTTCAGGGAAAGGGCATTCCAGATCTGAACACGAGGCTCCTGGTGAAGAAGCTGTGGGACACATTTCATATTCCTGTGTTCACACTGGTAGATGCTGACCCACATGGTAATCTCTCCTGGACTATTTGGGATGACAGTCCAGTCGTGACTGAGTCATGCTGTCACATGTTTTCTGCTCTTAGGACATTTGTTCAGTGTGCTGTATGGACTAGGGGGTAGCTCAGTGGTGCTCAGTGTACTGTGTGGGCTAGGGGGTAGCTCAGTGGTGTGGCACTTGACGAACATGCATCATGCTTTAGTTTCAGTCTCCAGCATGGTGATCAGTAGAGAGGCTGTAGTCATTTAAGGCAATGTTTAATATATGGAATTGAGAACGTAGTTTTTCATTGGTAATGTCCACAGAGCTAAGCTTTTAGATGTTAGATGGAGATTGTGAGTGTGGATTCCATAGCTGTGGTCTGAGTCTAACCTTGGAGCTCACTCTCAACAGGCATCGAGATACTGTGCGTCTATAAATATGGATCCATGGTGAGTACAGGACGTTTCTCCCTTCTCCACCACATCTGTTACAGTCGCTGGCTTTCCTTACACCCCTGGTAAGCCAAGGCTCTCCAGGATTTCCCAGGGGAAGTGGTGATCTCTTCCAGAGCCCATCTGTGCTTCACTGGTGTGAGCCCAGCCCCTAGCATGAACAGCTACCCAAGGTAACAGAGAGACGAGCTGCCTGCAAGAGGCACAGCCATGCTATCTGAGCTGCTCCTAAGGAGCATCAGATAGGCCACAAGTGTCGCATGCAGTTTTGACTTTGCCACTGTGGTTCCCACAGTGACAGAAGGGGAAACATCAAGTCCACACTGGAGCCAATGGTGATCAAATTCCACTCTTGAAAACCTGTAGAGCTACAAATCCCAGGGTCCCGCCAGACTGCTGATCCTGCATCTCCAAATGAGCCCAAAGCTCAGCCAGGTTCCTAGCAGAAGGTGACGGAGCAGGGAGGGAGGAAGTGAGTGTAGGCCAGAGGTTAATAGAGCCGTGGTCCCGACCACCTCACCCTGCTTCCAGAATAGAAAGCCAGGGCCCTGCCCAGCTCACCTGACACAGCTCTGCTCTTTACCTCAGTCCATGTCTTTCGAAGCCCACAGTCTCACCGTCCCAACTATCAGATGGCTTGGTCTCCTCCCTTCTGATATTCAAAGGTAAGATATCTCCCTGCAGCATGTATGGCATGCCTGGCATCACTAGAAAATCCCTTGCTGACTGAGTCATAAAGTACATTTCTTGAGGATTCTGTTATTTATATAGTTAATGAAGGCTCGGCATGAGGGCGCACGCCTTTAATCCCAGCACTTGGGAGACAGAGGCAGGTGGGTTTAAGACCAGCCTTGTCTCTATAGTGAGTTCCAGGACAGCCATCAATACTACATAAAGAGGCTCTGTCTCAAAAAAAAAAAAAAAAGACAAAACCTCAATGAATTTAGTTAATGCAAGGAGAGGCATTGGAATCCTGTGCTCAGAGGACTGAGTCAGAGGCCAGCCTGAGCTTCAGAGTGAGACTCTGCCTCACAGACTGTTAATAAGTGTGAGGCCTGGGATGGAACTAATTTCAGTCCTGATCTTGAATGTTCTAACTTTATAGAGTGATCATATCTTAATATCAGAGTTTGGGAACTTCCAGCACTTCAAGTTAAGGGTCATTTGAGGCAGGACCGTTCTAGATGACTGGTGATTTTCTGCCTACAGCTATGACCTCTCCCCAGAAACCTCAGGGTCCTCTGTTCCTTTGTCATCTGATTTCTGCATACAACAAAATGTGATCACTTTTGTTGTTATAAATGAATACATTTCTCTCCTGTAACAGCTCCAACTCCTGAATTTCAACTCTCCCTGTGCCAGCATGTGCTCAGGCCATCCTCACAGCTGCTCTGCCGAGATTGTAGGTGCAGGCACATCAAAGGGTCCTCTGATGATTAAGCCTTTGCGTGCGTGCGTGCGTGCGTGTGTGTGTGTGTGTGTGTGTGTGTGTGTGTGTGTGTGTGTGTGGCTTCCCCTGCCTTCAATAGGGTCCTTAATTTGTTCTTCCTGGAGAATGAGCTACTTGGCCCTCACCATGTGGGGAATACATGTGAACATGTGAGTGCAGGCACTCACAGAGGACTGAAGCCTTGGAACCCTAGGCTGGAGCGACAGGCAGTTGTGAGCTATGCAATGTGTATGCTGTAATTAAACTTGGGTCCTCTGCAAGAGCAATATACACTCTTAAGGACTGAGCCATTGCTCCAGACCCTGCAACACCCTCTTGCTATACTCCTTTCCCTGTGAAAGGAACTTGAGTGTGTGTGTTCGGGATTTCTGGAGGCAGTGGGTTGTCTTGGGTGTAGATGCCTATTCCCCAAACCTGCGGACCATGAAGCTATGGACTTAGTAGGAAGGAAACACCCCCCCCCCCGGAGTTTTGAATGCTTCCAGAGAAGGAAGCAGAATTAAACCAAGCAGTTACTTGTTATGGCCACAATCCCTTAGAGTGACCTCTTTGCACAAACACATTTGGGACAAGGAACCTGATGGCTTTTAAGGCAGAGGTCTTGGAGGAACTCTAGCTATGGCTCCTAAGCCCCTCCGGTGTCCTCAGAGCCACTCCAGATAGATGCATGATCAAAGCAAAGAGGTTGCAAGGAGCAGCACTAGAGTCCCTTCAGTCAGCTGCCAGGAGCTGCCCCTGGCACATGCTCGGGATTATGGGAACATTGAGGAAAGCTGAAATGAGAGTTTACCTGGAAACCTCGACTTGTGACTTCCAAAGCAGGTTACACCATAAACTCAGATCTCTCTACTGTTTTCAGACTTCAAACTAGATAAGTGTGCATCCCAAGTAAGAAAATAATATACATCCTCAGGCACTTAGTAGGATTGGATCAAGCGCTTAGTAGGCAACCACTTCCTGATTTCTATGTGTCGGCCACTGGCCACTCATTGCTGGAGCACACAGCTGCAGGAACAGAGAGCTGGGCTTTCCACACTAGCTCTGCTCAGGGCACTGGATGTCAGTGCTCTGTTTAACAGGCAGTGTCTCTCTGTTGTCATCTCACAAAGGTGAGGAGGGGTAGGAAGGACAGAATCTGTTTCTATGACAATACAAACTTCTACCTTGGGAAACCTCCCGACCTATGACACAGAGCTCCATATACTGAGATTGGGGAAGTGCACTGGACTGATTTTCTCACTTGTTTTTCTTAGTTTGTTGACATAACAACATAAATACAGGAACAGTCTGCTTCTACTGATCACTCCAATCTATGTTTCCAGGCTAAACATACCTAAGGATAGTTTGATTCCACTGACAAAGCATGATCAGAGGAAACTGGACAGTATCCTGAAGAGGCCTTATATTACCTACCAACCCCTCTGGAGAAAAGAGGTAGATGGTGTGTTTTTATAGAACGTAAATGCAGATGCTGTGTGCCTTCCTTTCATTGTAGTGGTAGCTGTTCACACAATACTTTTAGCATATCCTTGAACTTCTATTTCATTTTTTATCTTGCTACTGATTTTTTTGTTTGCTTGTCTGTTTTGTTTTTTGAGACAGGTTTTCTCTGTGTAGCTTTGGAACCTATCCTGGCACTCAGACGAAGCTGGCCTCGAACTCACAGAGATCCGCCTGCCTCTGCCTTCTGAGTGCTGGGATTAAAGGTGTGCTTCATCAACGTCCCGCCATTACTGATTTTTAATTAACGTTTTCAGTTAGTGTACAAGATAATGGGTTTTATTTTAGCATTTCATGTGTATATATCATGGTACTTTGTTTATCTACCCCCTCCCAATCCCCACTGCGGGTCATCCCTGCTGGCAGGTCCTGTTCCTACCCCAACACGGTCCCCCTTCTGCTTTCACACATGTCTACACGACATGTTAACCCTAGAGTCCACATGTAAGAGAAGATTGCAGCATTTTTCTTTTCCTCCTCCATTGTCTGTTCTTTTTCTCTCTCCCCTCCTCTGTTGGAGTCTCCCTTCCTCACATAGTATCTCTTATAAATTCATGTCCTGCCTGTATATTTTTAAGTCTAGACTCTGTTCATGGTTATGTCACGTTAACAGTGGTGGTATCACAGTTTTTTCGGATAAAAAAAGAAGGAATTCGTAAAAGTCCCAGAACAATAGCACTACAGTCATAAGGCCTGACCTGATAATTCTGAGCAGTAGCCACCCTAGGTGCTCTAGCAGGCCTGTGGTTCCTGACAGACAGTGGTAATACTGTGGTACCTTCTGGCAGCTGGAAATGATGGCAGACTCTAAGATGAAGGCAGAGATCCAAGCCTTGACCTTCCTGTCGGCAGACTACCTTTCCAGAGTGTACTTACCCAACAAGCTGAGGTTTGGAGGATGGATATAAGATCACAGCTAGGCGGTGTGTACTTACCAGAGCTTTCATCAGCTTGTTTGAACTGCAAACACTGGGTGAAGGAATACCTAGTCTTAATTCTGCAATGATAAAAATAATTTTACATTAATATGTTTGTCAAAGCAAACTCCAAAATGCTCTTTAGAATATTTGATCTTCTGTAAGGACAGATTCTTATTCTATGTTCTAGAGTGATTATAAAGTAATTTATTTAATTTTTAAATATTATTAGGAAAACTGTTCCATATGAAAGTCTATAAAAATATTTACTTCTGTTGGGCAGTGGTGGTTCACACCTTCAATCCCAGGGAGGCAAAGGCAGGTGGTTCTCTTGAGTTTGAGGCCAGCCTGGTCTACAGAGTAAGTTCCAGGACAGCAAGGACTGTTTCAAAGAGAAATTCTGTCTCAAAAACCTTAAACACACACACACACACACACACACACACACACACACACACACCTTCCTGCAGCATAGCTAGTGTAGATATTAAATATCTCACTAGCAACAAAAACAGCAATCAAAACTCAAGAGGTTACAAAGGAATTACATGGTATTTTTTTTCCTTGTACCTTCTTTTGCTCCATAGTAGGCGCCTTGCCCTGTTAATGTACCTGTGAAACTAGTAAAGTTTATTGCAAACAAGTATTCAAATTGGTGTGTGTCCTGTGCCTTGCTCTACTCATTTCCAGTGTGTCTCTACCTATAACACTGTACCTGAACCTGCTTTCCAGCCACACGGTGTTGCCCACAGCCAGAATCCAGCATCCAGATTCCTCTTTGTTCTCTGAGTGCTAAGACTGACTGCAATGAGGCTTCTTTTACAGTAGACTGTGCGCTCACTTCCTCTAGCTCTACCTTAATTTTGCCAAAGGTAACCTTTATGGTCCTAGTGCATCCCTAAGTGAACAGAAGCTTCAACTGTCTGCATGCCTGCCACTTCTAGAAGGATGTAAACGCTGCTTGGTTTATAAGGCTCAGTAGCAGCTGATGTGACAGGACCAATTCTGCAAGTGTGTGGGGGCTGCCGCTGGGTACACACGATCTCACATCATTCTCCCAGCAATGACTCCGTAGTTTACAGGTGAGAGCTCTGAAGGTGTTACTTGCCCAATGCCACAATAGCATTGGGAGACAATAATACCAACCACCTTCATGAACAAAACAACAGAATATACAGGGGCTACAGAGAAATGGAGAGGCAGCCCTTGTTCAGAGTTAAGAATTCCAAGATAGTTGGGGCTGGAGAGATGGCTCAGTGGTTAAGAGCACTGACTGCTCTTCCAGAGGATTCAGGCTCAATTCCCAGCACCCACATGGCAGCCCACAATTGTCTATGACTCCTAACTCCAGGGAATCCAACATTCTCCCACAGAAATACATGCAGGCAAAACACCAATGCACATAAAATAAAAATAAGTAAAGCATAAAAAAGAAAAAAAAACAAAACAACAACAAAAAATAATTCCAAGATAACAGCAACAGAGAATTCAACTGAGCCGGGTCCCATGTGACTGTACTGATCACATAGGTATGACACTGGCCTTCCCTGCCCAAGAACTTGTAGTAAAGACTAAATGAGGCAATATGACAATGAAAGAAGACACTCAGTATGCATCACGCAGTATGTGTATTTCTAGGGACTTCACAAATGCTGACTCACCTCATCCTGTAAGTTAAGTCCCTTAACTGACCACCCCATTTTACAGATGGGGAAATGAAGGCACAGGGAAGTTTAGTAACTGACTGGTCTGTGTCTGCAGACTAATAAACAGTGGAGCCTAGACGTCACCTTGAGTCTGGAGACTGCTTCTCATATGTCCTGCATGCACACTGCCAGGGGAAGATCTAAGCCATGTGCTAAATCAAGGCCCTGATATCATACCTATGGCATTAAGATGGCTCCTGGACACACAGGATACCGAAAATTTTGTTTTGAGAACATTTTAATATGCTGTTGATTTGACTTCCTTGTGAGACTTATCAAAGATTGTTTAAAACCTTTGTAAATTACTAATGTTTTTCTTTAAATTTATATACAATACCAGCATGCTATAATGTCACTGAATTTTGACAAGCTAAAAAAGAGAATACAAGTTAGAAATATATTTAACCCACAGAACATCTGAGTTAGGCTATATTGTCAAAATGGGAAGGAAATACAAGACTTCAGTAATCATTAAAATTTGGAAATAAATTTAAAGAGTTTGCAGATTCATTCAGTTCATCTAATTAAATTATCTAAAGTTTATGGCTGGAAATTTTCTTAAAATAATTTCCTATTATTTGGGAAACGAAGATGGAAGGTCAGCCGCACTGAAGTTGGCTATGCTACCCACCTTGATTGGATGCAGATGAGAAACTGGTGCTAAAGTTTTGGGAACCATCTAGAATTCTAAGTCACAAGACTGGCTTTTAGAAAGGATTACTGCACAATAGCTCTTTCAAATGACAGCTGGCAACAGACATGCCCTCGAGGTGCCATAGTCTCCTGGGCCCATGTGGGAGAGCACAGGGCTGGAATCTGTTTGTAGTTAGGGTGAAGAGGAAGGAGCACCACAAAGCATGTTCTGAGACTCTTGGTTTCCTTAAGGGCTCATAATGACCCTCATTTAAAACAAAAAGCTGTAACATCCCATTTTCTGGGAAATTGAACTGTCGTTATTGGTGATGCTAAGTGATTTCAGAAGCCACGGTTTCACAGGGGTGGGGAACAAGCAGTGCACATTGTACAAAAATAGGACAAATCCTCTAGGATGTCCCTCATGGATTCTAGGCCTCCTGTTTGACAGAGTGGAGCCAGTGTCTGTGAGGTGCTGCTGGAGAGGACAGACACTCTGAAAAACCATGTACCACGAGTGTACAGCAACACTGATGCTGGGGTGTCTGCAGAAGGCAGTGTGGAGCAGCACCAACCCACAATCCCTAAATGGACTGTCCAGAGAGGCACACCCGGAAACTACAGTCCCCTAAGACAGGCCAAGCCTGCCCTCTGCTGGCTAAAGCTTGCTGGGCACACAAACCCTTCCACTCTTTTGAGTGGGAATTTCCTTAAAATTATTTCCAAGTCACTTTTAAAAGGGCTAGATCGAAACGTGTGAGTCTCATAAAAAGAAGACGTGGGAAGCCAGGAGGACCTCTGGTAAGCACTTCTGAGGCCTCATGAGTAATCTGCTCTGGGTACCTCCACTCCCAAGAGTCTGCACTTGGCTGCCAAACTGCTTGCAAACTTTAAGCCAGCCTATGAGAACTTTCCAATAAAAATGTCAAAATTAAGTATCATTTAAGTTGAAAAATTAGCTGAAACTAAACTTATAAGCACATCCATTCTCTTGGACATGGACTATAAACTACAGTCTGCCCTGAGTTTTCTCTGAGACTTCATTAGTGTGGGTGATAGTCACAGCCAAATTCCAGTATTTCGATGTTTATGTGGGGTGGTTTTGTTTTGTTTTGTTTGCTTTGTTTCATTTTTCCTAGACAGGGCTTCCTTATTTATCCCTGGCTGTCCTGAAACTCACTCTACATGTAGACACACTGGCCTCAAACTCAGAGATCCACTGGCCTCTGCCTCCGGAGAGCTGTATTAGAGGCGTGCGCCACCACACCCTGCCTTCTGTGAGTTTTTAGCCATACTGAGTACATAGATAATTGATCTCCTTTGGTGTTTAGGCTTGGTGAAGTGGCAATACCGCCTCTCATGTTCAGCCAGGCTTTGGTTCCCTTCACTCCCTACATCTGTGGTGGGGGACAGGTTCTAATATGGTCTCTATCTCGTAACCATGATGAGGGAGGGCAGTAACAATGACAAGAGCCCATACTACTGTTCTAGGATGGAATGGGAGTATTAACGTAAAACATGTGTTTGTACAATATAGTTCAGAGACAGACACAGGATGTGAGCTGCTGTGTTTGGGTTAGCCACTGCTGTTAGTGGACTGACTGGAAGACATGCTACAGCAGCCAGTCCATTTATTCCCCTAAACACCCCTTGGGTGTATCTCGGAATTATCTGGGGGGATTTCAAAGAATAATTTCCTGAGTTCTACCCAAGACCTACTAAATCAAGAGTTCCGAGAGTGGAATCCAGACATGGAATTTATTTAAAGATTTATTTATTATGTATACAGTGTTCGGCCTGCATGTATGCCTGCAGGTTAGAGGGGGCACAGATCTCATTGCAGATGGTTGTGAGCCACCATGTGGTTGCTGGGAATTGAACTCAGGACCTCTGAAAGAGCAGGCACACATGCTTATCCTCTTAGCCACCTCTTCTCTTCAGACCAGAAGGTTTTTTTTTTTTTAAGTTCCCAGTAATTCTAACAGTTTGATTGGACTCCTCAGTGGGGTCGTGAGTCCAAGCACCTGGGCTGTGAAGGTGGTAGAGGTGTGTGTTCTCAGGCCCTCCCTAGACCTGTGGCTCTGCACTTTACAAAGTCTAAAGCTCTCTGAGAAGGTCATGGAGCAAGCAGACACAGGACACACACAGAAGCCTTGCAGTGCTAAGCAGCTGTCTGGTGAGCAGCAGGCTTTGAGGACACTGGAGCCAGACCCATGCTTCCTTGTCAGCAGCCTGTGAAACAAAGGGCTGGAGGTGGCTGGATGCCGAGGATAAAAAGATGAGCTTTCTACCAGACCTGATTTCCCAAGTAAGTTGCCTGAGAGATGATTAAGAACTATTTGGAGCTGGCTCCATAGACTGAAGAACTCCATGTCTTAGTCAGGGTTTCTACTGCTGTGATGAAACACCATGACCAAAGCAACTTGGGGAGGAAAGGGTTTATTTGGCTCACACTTCCACATCACTGTTCATCTCAAAGGAAGTCAGGACAGGCCTGGGGCAGGGTGGTGCAGAGGCCATGGAGGAGTGCTGTGTATTGGCTTTCTCCTTGTGGCAGGAACCATAGCCCTGAAGGAAGAAGTTACTGTAAAGCCTCTCTAGTCACTTTCAGCCGTGCTCATGGAGAGTACACTATGCTTGCTAGTTAATGAA